AGAGGCAATTTTGTCATAATTATGACAAAACTGTTCAAACTGTATACAAGAATACCTACCTTACGGTTCAATCAATAAACTGACAGTTATTTTACACCTGGTCATCCACGACTAGCTCCAGCTGTCAGCTGGAGCTGGTCGTCGGGTATCCATAGTTTTTAGGCGTGCGGGCTTTCCAGGTACAACTACCTCCTCGTCTCTCTAATTACACCAACTGCCAACTTCAACTACCTCATCGTCTCTCTAATGACATCAACTGTCAATTAAAACCACCCCATCGTCTCTCTAATTACATAACCGTCAACTACAACCACCTCCTCGTCTCTCTAATTACATCAACCGTCAACTACAACCACCTCATCGTCTGTCTAATTACATCAACTGTCAACTACAACCACCTCATCGTCACCTATAACTATGTGAAGGAGAGAAAGAGTGGGAGGAAGACGGAAAGAACAGGAGGAAAACAGAAACAGAAAAGGTACTGGAAAAAGGGGGGGGGGGTGGGTCACAGGAAAGAGAGGCTCAAAGACAGAGAGGGAGGAAGACATAAAAAGACAAATAGAGGGAGACAGCGCGAGAAGAGAGTCAGGGAGAGTAGAAGAGAAAATAGGAGGGGGGGGGGGGGAGAGTTGAGGGGGAAACAAAGTAAGAGTAAGCGATTAACGGATAAGTAGAGAGATACATGCATATCAATGATAGAGAAGAGACAGATATGGAATGAGATCTACACACCATGATTATCGACGTAAGCAGAAAATCGCGTGAAGGGATAATATAGCGCACCAGTAACAAGAAGAGGCAGAAGAAATGACAAGCTGTGACTTACCAGTGCTAAACTTCATCAAAAGACAACATATCAAACGGTTCGGACAGGTGTCAAGACAACCACGACAGTGAGCTACAGAAAGCCCTGTCACACAGAGAGCCCTGTCACATAGAGAGCCCTGTCACACAGAGAGTCCTGTCACATAGAGAGCCCTGTCACATAGAGAGCCATGTCACACAGAGAGCCCTGTCACACAGAGAGCCCTGTCACACAGAGAGTCCTGTCACACAGAGAACCCTGTCAGTCACACAGAGAGCCCTATCACACAGAGAGCCCTGTCACACAGAGAACCCTGTCAGTCACACAGAGAGCCCTGTCACACAGAGAGCCCTGTCACACAGAGAGCCCTGTCAGTCACATGGACAACACAGTCACTCACGCAGAGAGCTATGACACACAGAAAGCCCTGTCAGTCACACAGAGAGCCCTGTCAGTCACACAGAGAGCTATGACAAACAGAGAGCCCTGTCAGTCACACAGAGAGCCCTGTCAGTCACACAGAGAGCCCTGTCAGTCACACAGACAGCCCTGTCAGTCATACAGAGAGCCCTGTCAGTCACACAGACAGCACAGTCGGTCACACAAAGAGCCCTGTCAGTCACACAGACAGCTATGACAAGCAGAAAGCCCTGTCAGTCACATAGAGAGCTATGACACACAGAAAGCCCTGTAAGTTATACAGAGAGCCCTGTCAGTCACACATAAAGCCCTGTCAGTCACACAGAGAGCCCTGTCAGTCACACGGACAGCCCTGTCAGTCACACACAGCACAGTCGGACAAACAGAGAGCCCTGTCAGTCACACAGACAGCTATGACACGCAGAAAGCCCTGTCACACAGAGAGCCCTGTCACACACAGAGCCCAGTCACACAGACAAAACAGAAGCAGAGCTAGAAGTTGCCCATTAAAGCAACAAATATAAAAAATATCCAAGATCGTGAATACCAACTAAAGCGCCGACCCATCACACACTAACGATCGTATCAGAAGCCTCTTCAAAACGTGACCCTGATGATTAACGAACGGGCGAAGACAGTTTTAAAAGGGCTACGAAAAGGGCACACAGGGGCCCCGTCTAACAGTTTGCCCTTCTACTCTGCCTTTTTTCACACATGATTTCATTGACACATAACAAGTAATAGTAAACATTATCGGCAGCAGCACAAATATTAAATACAAGCATTGGAATGTGCTCGAATTACATCTGCATTTCTAACCAAAGTAGTAATAATCAATCTAGGGAAATTACAGGCTGTTTCTAAAATTAGAGAAAAACTGTGGGGAGACAGTAACAGGTGTGGTGCACCTTTCCGTTTTCCCAGGGCTACCAATGCTGCCCCCCCCCCCCCCCCGTTCTGGGTTTTTATTTGACGCCCGGGGAAATCTGGGTTTTAAAAAAAAATATATCCTTACATAAAGTGGTAAAGGTTTCGTTTCGTTTCGTGAAGATAAATTTTGTACATTTTAATAATCTGCGGTTTTTTATTTGATTTTTTTGTTCTTTGTCTATGTATTGCTTGGGTTTTTGTTCAGCTAAGCTGGGTTTTAAAAAAAAATCCCATTGGTAGCCCTGCTTCCAAGGCCATAGTGTTGTTACACTGTGCTATACTGGGATGCATGGGAATCACTTTCCATGGCGATGGCTAGTAGGATCGGGTCTAGTGACAAAGAAGTTTCCTACACTGAGTGGGTGGATCTTTAGGGTCACATTGCATGCTGACACGTTTCTTCTCCAACGTTCAGCTCTTAACCTATCTGCAAACACGAGCATTTATCACCTCAGGGGCCGCCGTGAAGTAGCGGCTAGATGCTCGCTCCAGGATCCAAAGGTTATGGGTTCAAATCCGCAAGGAGCGGGATTTTTTTTCCATACAGGTCGACCACGTCTTGAATGGGTATTAGGTGAAGTCCTGGGAAGTAACGGCGTCCGGCAGGATGTTGACCACATCACCTATCGAGGGCCAACTTCTCTACAAAATTATGAATCCAACCTCACATGCCCTACACGCCACTGGCGTATAAAGGAACCTTTCATTTACTTTACTTATTCCCTTTCCCCCTTCCATAAAATGAGGGAAGATTGAAAGTCAAGGCGTGCACCTGAAAATAGGTGTAAACTTATTCATGCCAAAAAATACAACAACGAACATCTGCAACCTGGAAGAGATTACTGGGTGCCATATCTATGACATTATTTTGGATCTTAAAGAAAAAAAAAGTTGTTGCCAAACTACCTTCATCTCGGACACTTAACTGAGGTCTTACTGGATGATGTAACCCATAATGTGTGAACGCAGCAATGAGTGTCAGATCATATAGCATAGCAACCTAACTCGGCAAAGCTACACGAGCTCCTGCCATATTAGTCCGGGTACCTCTCACGATGTATACCGCGGATGTAGGTCAGACGTCATGCACGAGGTTGCCACTTTTCACCTCGCAGTCTGTTGTACTTCAAAATCATCAGCAGGATTTTGGATTCAACCCCAGTACCTCCCCCTTTTGCACTGAATTTAGCAGACCCGACAGCTGCGACTAGTCGATGGAAACCACCTTTTGGCTCTAGGAAGAACAGGGTTAAAACAGGGGTAAATAAGTGCAAAAAAGCGCTCAGAGTCTCACATGGGGACCCCCATATTAGAAATGAAAGCTGGGAAAACGCAGGCACTATACGACAGTTGCAAATACAAAATTTATTCCAGATCACCCCAGAGACAAAACCTAGCTGGGATATAGAACACTTTTATTTCAAGCAAAAAGAACGACATAGACTTCCAGAAATTGGTTTTGCCCACTTAAAAGTATTCAGAAACAAACCCCATGGAGAGAAAAATACAAACAGCCGCAAATCCAGACAAATGTGAAAGGGATATTTGACAAGAAAGAGCAAGATGCGTACAACGCGGCCACCCTCGTTGCGAAGAATACCCACAAGAACAATGGGTCAGAGTCTATACAGAGGGCGACACAGGCGGGCAGTTTCTTATCAGCTGTCCATACTGGTGGCAGAGCACTTATGGTTTATAACTGTGTGCAATGACGCTGGTTCACATCTGCCGACTTTATCTTTATATATTTGCGGTTTTTCCAAAGGCAATATAATGTTCAGGCTGTCTTCTGTCAGAGAAAGGGACCCTTTTCCAACGCCTTTAAGCATTTGGACGATGTGGTCAACATCACGCTGGCCACCTTTACTTCCCAGAGCTTTATATAGTTAACTATTTAAAGCTGCTTCAACATGAGATTCCAATGTAATTTTTTTTTTAATGTGCATTTCAATTCGGATTTGAACAAAAAACCTTGGGATCTGCATGTTGAGCGTTTAGCAATTTTATCACAGATACAAGTTACATTAACCCCTTCTATCTGAACTATTAGTTTAACTATTTATGTCCTAAGACGCTTCTCTTTAGCTCTTTAAGATCTAATTATTTCAAGTAGAATTACCTGGAAAGATAGAGTTAAAGTAATACTAGGTTGGCACAGAAAGAGAGAATATTTCCTCATGCCTGTGACCTACGCTCACCACATCCATTCGTTTAATCCTGCAGGCTTTTGTCAGTTGACAAACATATTTTCTAACTGTTCAAGCATAGTGGTGCTAGACATCATGTCTATCCAGTACCTTAGTGTTCTATGTCCATACTCCAGTCCTCTGTGTCCATACTCCAGTCATTTGTGTCCATACTCCAGTCCTCTGTGTCCATACTCCAGTCCTCTATGTCCATACTCCAGTCCTCTGTGTCCATACTCCAGTCATTTGTGTCCATACTCCAGTCCTCTGTGTCCATACTCCAGTCCTCTATGTCCATACTCCAGTCCTCTGTGTCCATACTCCAGTCATTTGTGTCCATACTCCAGTCCTCTGTGTCCATACTCCAGTCCTCTGTGTCCATACTCCAGTCCTCTGTGTCCATACTCCAGTCCTCTGTGTCCATACTCCAGTCCTCTGTGTTCATACTCCAGTCCTTTGTGTCCATACTCCAGTCCTCTGTGTCCATACTCCAGTCCTCTGTGTCCATACTCCAGTCCTTTGTGTCCATACTCCAGTCATCTGTGTCCATACTCCACTCCTTTGTGTCCCATACTCCATACTCCCTTTTGTGTCCATACTCCAGTCCTCTGTGTCCATACTCCAGTCCTGTGTCCATACTTTCATCTGTGTCCATACTACCAGTCATCTGTGTCCATACTCCAGTCCTTTGTGTCCATACTCCAGTCATTTGTTGTACTCCATACTCCAGTCCAGTCATTGTGTGTCCATACTCCAGTCACTTTGTGTCCAGTCATTTGTGTCCATACTCCAGTCATCTGTGTCCATACTCCAGTCCTCTGTGTCCATACTCCAGTCCTTTGTGTCCATACTCCAGTTCTTTGTGTCCATACTCCAGTCATTTGTGTCCATACTCCAGTCCTCTGTGTCCATACTCCAGTCATTTGTGTCCATACTCCAGTCATCTGTGTCCATACTCCAGTCCTTGTGTCCATACTCCAGTCCTCTGTGTCCATACTCCAGTCATTTGTGTCCATACTCCAGTCCTCTGTGTCCATACTCCAGTCCTCTGTGTCCATACTCCAGTCATCTGTGTCCATACTCCAGTCATCTGTGTCCATACTCCAGTCATTTGTGTCCATACTCCAGTCATCTGTGTCCATACTCCAGTCATTTGTGTCCATACTCCAGTCATCTGTGTCTGTACTCCAGTACTCTGTGTTCATACTCATGTCCTCTGAGTCAGTTTTCTTGTCCTGTGTCAATTACTCCAGTCCTCTGTGTCCAGTACTTTAGTCCTCTGTGTCCAATACTCTGGTCCTCTGTGTTCAGTACACCAGTCCTCTGGTCCTCTGTGTGCAGTTTTCTGGTTCTCTATGTACAGTACTCTAGTCATGTGTCTACTACTACAAATAATTTCTCATGTAAATGCCAAATGTCTAACACTCTCATTCTCTCTCTTCATCTCTTGATCTTTCATCAAATGAAGTTGATTTTCAGCGAAGGCGCCTGGTCTCACAGTGTGTTTAAGGAGGCATGCACCTTATGGTTTGCCAGATCAAATCGTGTGTGTTTTGCTGACTGAGGACACTTTGTAATGGCTACGGCATTCACTTGAAGTATCCAGCGTATCTTACTCAGTTTGTGACTGGAATCACTGGCATAGGCAGTTGAGCAATTATGGGCCAAGCTCATTTGCAGTGATGCTGGAACCGTAACGACTAACTAACTAACTAACTAACTAACTTACTATCTAACTAACAAACAAACAAACAAACCAACCAACCAAACAACCAACCAGCCAGCCAACCAACCAACCAACCAACCAACTAACTAACTAACAAACAAACAAACTAACTAAACTAACTAACTAACTAACTACTAACTAACTAACAAACTAACTATCTTTTGATCTGCCCCATGAATTTCTCTGTTTTGGTGCCATACTCAAGTTTTCTCCCATTATACAACTGTCCAAAGAATGTGGAGTGTTCAACTCTGATGTGGTTTACCAATCTTCTGTGTGTAAATAATTTTTACGTCAAGATATCATTACAGATGCTATTGGCCTATAGTGTTCTCAAGGACTGCAAAGGGCGGAAGGCAAAGGACGGAAGGCAATGGATGGACCAGACTGCCAGCCCTATGTGACACACAACAGCACAACATGATGATTATGAGGGGGCTCTTACATCTATTTTTTTTTAAACCACCTGTACAGCTCTCACGTAATTTCCCTTGTCAGTAACAATGCATGTCAAATGCTTTTATATGTTTTATCAGAACATTTATTAATCTGCCCATATCTCAGAACAATACTCTCAGAGCTATACCTATACAGAGTGACTGGCCAGATGAGTACATCCCCCATAGATAAAACTGTTTATTTACAGATGATAGAATTTGTTTTGGTTTTTCAGTGAATACATCATTTTCCACCCCAAATCTAATTTTGAATATATCTGATAGTTATTTACGTATTCCTATGTAATGTGTCCAATTTGTATTTTATACTGTGCAGCTTATTATATACACTTCTGTTTTGTTGACTTCTCTCAGCAACACTCAAAACCATTATATTTACTTAACCACAAAAATCACGATTAGCCACACAAAGTTTGGGTTGGTTCTGCAACATCCTGAAAAGGATATGCAACTACATATTTTCTTTCTTCTTCCGCCTTTCTATCTCCCAATAGAGCATAGGCCCCTCAATCAAATCATGCCAAGTCGTTCTATCCTTCACTATCGCATGCAGCTCTCCCCATGTCCTCCCCATCTTTTTAACTTGACTCTTTAGCTCCCCTCTCCATGTGTTTTTGGGTCTTCCTTGATTTCTAATGCAAAGACATTCTAGTTACAGTGTTCTCAGGTTTTCTATACGTGTATCCTATCCAACGCCAGCAACTTCTCTTCACCTCTTGGTCCGATGGAACCTGTTTCTTCTTTTTCTTCTGCCTTTTTATCCCCCAATGGAGCATAGGCCCTCAACCAACTCACGCCAAGTCGTTCTATCCTTTGCCATTACATGGAGCTCTCCCCATGTCCTCCCAATCTTTCTAGCCTCATTCTCCAGCTCTCTTCTCTTTTTGGCCTTCCTTTATTCCTATGCCCCAGTGGGTTCCAATGCAAAGACATTCTAGTTATGCTGTTCTACTGTTTTCTCAGTGTGTGCCCTATCCAACGCCAGCGTCTTTTGGAACCTGTTTAGTTCTCTCCTAAAGCTCTACATTAGTGATTCTATCGTACCATTTAATTTCCTTTATTCTGCGCAGACACCAATTAATGAATGTTTATAGTTGACTGGTAATTGCCTTAGTTGTTCTCCATGATTCCACTCCTTACAACAGTAATGATTTGACATTAGAATTTAGTGTAAGTGTGCTCATTTCTTGTATATAAAATTGACCCTGACAACAACTGACCAAAATTACAGTGCAAAAACAAGTGATGACAACCTGAAGTAAATCTAAGTGTGCTCATTCCTTGTGCACTAAAATGATACTGACAACAACCTATGACAAAAACTATTGTACCCAAACAAGTGACAATAACTGGAAGTAAGTCTGTGTGTGCTCACCTGCCGTATGAAACTGTTTGAGCTGTCTGAAAAACTTCCATCTGACCTTTTATTGAATTTTCCCTTAGCCTTTCCTCCTTTGCCCTGGGGACACACCCAATAAAATTTAAAAAAAAAATGACATCAGTTTCTAACTGCCACACAATCTCTCCCAGCCAATAATCAGGAACTTATAATAAGCATGTGCCAATGTTATTATTAACTGAATACTATGTATGTGTACGTGTGCAAATAAAAAAAAAAAATTATGAAATATGAAAAATAAGCAAAACAAAACAATAGCGCCATCAGGTGTCTGTTTCTCTGACTTTTTTCTCCCTCTTCTTTTTCTTTAAGTTCACTGACACATCGTTTTTACATAGTGACAAACCAACCAAAGCATTTGTTAACTGCTTCTGGTTTTACTATACAATTTGATGTTCAGTTGTTTGCCACTGGCCTCTGAATGGCCGAGACTCATCATGTTGTTGAAATCATTGCAAAGCTGGCTGCGCTCATCGCATCTGCAGCTGAATTGAACTGGTATGTAAAAATTATAAACCTACATTTATAACCTCTAACTCACAAATTTACTTTAGACAGTTTAAATATAGTCCCTGTCCCCAGCATTTGTTGTTGTTTGTGGTTTTACATGGGCATTTTATATTTGGTAGTTTGCCACAGCATTTAAATGGTTATAGCTCAACCTGCCTAAATCAAAGCAAAGCAGTCTGTTCCCAAATCATCTGCTGTTGAGGAGCAAGGGCCGACCAGCACCAAGATAGGCAGTGATAATGACAGATACATGATGTATGCAAGATAGTTAGAGATGCATGTTGTAAGTACACTGCTGTACACAGTGACATAAACATGGTGTACGTAACAAAGAGATCTTCATCGTTTTCGACCAGCACCAAGATGGGTACAGGATATAAGTGACAACTTGGGTTGGAAAAGGCAGACCATGATGAGAGCAAAGCTCTGCGAAAGGCCTACTACACGATGATGATAATGATGAGATACGACAAAATTAAAATAGGAAATAAAGCTGGTGTTCAACTTATAAATTTACTGAAAGTCTTTGTATAATCAGGAATCAAGTGAAAGAGTCAGATGGAAACTAAACCTCGGTCTTTTAACATTGATAAGGATAAATACAATTTTGTATTTTCTGGTACACAGGAAAAAGTGTTTGCTCATCTATATGGTAAGAGAGTCATGGTGTATGTACATGGTGGGAATTGCATGTTGTATGTACCATGTTGTATGTGCACACTATGAGAGATACATTCTGTAGGTATGTTAGTCTTTAAGGTGAAAGATTCCTGGTTTATGCACATGTTAACAGTTGCAAGTTGTATGTCTGCTGGTGTATACAGTGCAAGATGCATGCTACACAAACTGGTGAATTTGGTGGAGATCTATGTTGTATATAAAAGGTGTACACAGTGAGATATTCATGTTGTATGCATGCTGTATGTAGGTAGGTACACTGGTATACACAGTGAGAGATGCATGTGTGCACGCATGTACACCTTGAGAGATGCATGGTGTATGTAAAAAGGACAAGAGATAAATGTTGTAAGATAATGACAGATACATGCTGTATGCAAGATAGTGAGAGATGCATGTTGTATTTACACTGTTGTACACAGTGATGATAATACATAGTGTATGTAACAAAGAGATACAGGTGCATTATAAGGCAGTTTGAGGTTTATACAACAGATGAACATCATGGCATTCGGGTAGTAACCCATAAGTGCTCCGTTATTTTTCTAACTCAAGTCTGAGTCCGAAGAAGATCAGCACAGTGCACAGGCTCTGCAGCACCGGCAAGGATCCTGAAATACTTTGGGCAGATTTTTAACTACAAATTTTTGCCTTGGCAGCGCCGTTAGGCTACTCTTTTTGATTTCCAACTGCCAAGGGATTTTTTACTTGTGCAACAATGCACACAGGCATCCAATCTTACTACCCAGAGACCAGGGGGAATTTCTAGGGGATTGAACCCGGAACCTCCAGCACTTGAGGCTGACACCATGCCTCGAGACCATACAGCCCCCTAAATACGGCAGTGTAAGAAAGTAAAACAGTGAAAGTTGCAGGTTTTATGTATGCTACACACTGTATGCACAATGGTGTTGTACAAGATAAGACATGCATTTTGTTTGTTCATTGGTGAACATGAGGAGATGCATAGTGTAAGTAGGTCAGTGAGAGATGCATGCTGTATGTATGTATACACTATATGTACACTGGTTTTGTACATGATGAGAGATGCATGTATGTTGCAAAGTAGGATAACCGCAGATGCATGCTGTTATGTATGCTGCTGTACATGACATAATGAGAGATGTAGGTTTTATGTACACTGGTTTACATGATAAGATGCATGTAGTTTGTAAGCTGTGACTGACACATGTTGTATGTATGCTGGTTATATGACAGCTGCATGTTGTATTTACAACAATGGTGTATATGATGAAATGCATATTGCATTAAGTTTTAAGTCATTAAGTGTAAGCAGCGAGAGATGCACGTTGTTAGTATGCTAGTGTAAATTAGAGATACAGATTGCCTGCACAATAGTGTACACGATGAGAGATGTTTGGTTTATGTAGGTCAGTGAGAATGATATGTTGTATGTTCACATAATAAGACAGTGAGTACTACTACAACCACACCAAGAACAGCTGTGCTTGTTAAGTGCCGCTACCGGAAGTGGGGGTCGGATGGAAGCGAATTACGTTAACAGCTATACAAAAAAGACCTTTCCCATGCACAAAAATATAAAGGATGTGCAATTTAATGTGCCGTTACATGGAATTAACAACAATAGTTCACCTGGTTGACTTGAGGCTGAGCGGTATCTACAAATTCCTGAAATGGAGAAGAGGCGAGCGCCATCTTTTCTGCTGTCTTTGACAAAGCTTCCAACTAGTCCAAAACGGAGCCATAGAAACTGTTTAAACCACTACAGCCTAGGCAGTCTAGGCTAGATCACATTGTTTGACAAACCTGTGTCATGAATACACAACAGAAACCGCACACACAAATCTATATTCTTTACACAGAGATATACCCAGATGTGTTGTTCTTGATCATGGAGACTGCTTGTGTCCGGCTCGAAAGGAAACTATCTTATTTTTGGAATGTCGCAATCAAACTGACCATTAAAAAAAAACACTACAGAGTGTTGTTGATGCACTGGTAAATAAACTAATCCCATTTTAAAATGTTTTTAAAACAAAATATTACACAAATTTAACTTTATAGTCTATATAGCTCGAAATAGAAACCAATAAATATGTAATCCTTTCGATCTCAGCATACCAGTCAGTTAAAATATTACGGATAACGCTGCCTGATGTTACAAGAGCTACCATTGGTGGTATGTGTTTTGTTTTTTATTCCTATCCCGTCTCCTTATCCCTCTCTCCCACATACAGCACAGACGTACATAACATATTCTCACAGCAAGCATCTGTGGAAACTACGTCGAGCACCCGACCTGGCAGCTAGCCCATGGCATTTTGTATCCACAGCAAGCAAAAAGAAACTTATCTTATGGTACGAGTTGGGAAAACCCATCATTATTATCTTGCGGCAGGTATTTTGCAGAACGTCGCTCTCCTCACTGCAGGCCGGAGAGCCACCACCCCCTTTTTTTCCAGTGGACTTCCAAACCCAGGTTGGACCATGATACTCCGTGTCCGCTAAGGCTAAACACTTAGTTCGCTATCACTACCGACGGTCGGCCTATGGATCATGCTGATATTATCAATGCCCTCAGAGAAATGGGAAGGATAGAGGACTTTGGTGGCAGTGAATCCACATCACTCGCCAGAATGGCAGATTTGGGAATTAAGATCGGCACAGCAAAAAACGAGGCGCACACCGGACACGTCAGAAGACTTGTTAATCAACATAGAACTGGTACTATTAGCCATCGGACGTTGGGGTTCATACTGAGGGGAGGATCTGAGCACCTATGGACATGTCCGGAGTGCAAT